CCATCGCCCGCCGCAGCGGCGAGGGAGGTGCAACAGCTGAGGCGGAGAAGCGACCGCCGCAGATCCACAGAACCCTGGAATGTCATGGGTTAGAGGGGACTTTAGGGATTAGCCAGTCCCAACCCCGCTGCACCAGGTTGCTCAAAGCCCCATCCAGCCTGGCCTTGAACGTTGCCAGGGTTGCGGCATCCACAGCTTCCCTGGGCAACCTGGGCCAGTGCCTCACCACCCTCACAGTAAAGAATTCCTTCCTAATATCCAGCCTAAATTTCCCCTCTTTCAATTTACTTCTTGTCCTATCACATCAGTGATGAAGAATCCCTCTCCAGCTTCCCAGCAGCCCCCTTCAGACGCTGGAAGCTTGCTGGGGGGTCTCCACAGAACCTTCTCCAGGATGAACAGACCCAATTTCCTCAGCCTGTCTTCATACGTGGTGCCCCAGTCCTCTCACCAACTCCTCCGGACTTGCTCCAACTGTTCCATGTCCTCCTCATGCTGGGGGACCAGAGCTGGACCCCTTACAGTTATAATGTAGATGTTCTATATACAGGCCTCATCGCTTCAGCATTAGATACTCACTGAAGACAAATACATGAAATTGCATAAACAGATGCATTTTTCTGGTGGCTGCTCTGTCCAGGCTCAGAGACAGCAGCATGCGGCACATCCACGCCCATCTTCGCATATATTACCTACCCAAATCACCTTGGTTACCTTGAAGGAGTCTTCAGCATTCTCTGGAACACCTCATAGCCATGGATTTCTAGAAAATTCCTGCATGAAGCCACTGGCAACCAAGCAGCTGGGGCCTGCTGCTTGTGGCTTACCTTGTGCCACAAGCTTTGCAACACATGGATTTTAAACGATGTATTAAACAGTTTGAGATGGGGGGGAAAACCCCAAGGCTTACACATCAAACCTGGAAAAGATTTCTGAGAATTTCCCCACTTCAAGCACTTTCAATATACAGCATGTACTTCTAAAAACTATCGTACTGTTGTGCTTGTTGAACATAAATCATGAAAAAGTGTATTACAGTGAGCTTTGTACTGTCTCTGATAAAAAAAAAGCCTAACCAACAACAAAATCATCCTCAATTAAAACAGGATGTAGGAGTAGCAAAACAAGGCCTCAAACTGGGAATTAAAACTGACTTCAGTTCCAGGCTTTGTCACTGACTGTCAGGAACTTCTAATGTGTTTCAAGTAGGAAACTTTCAAGTGGAACAGGAGTAGTCCTTCCTTATTTAACATGGTGCTTTGGTTCCTCAGACAAAAACATTTAAGAATAACATTAAAGTATAACCTATTATTATTCTTCTATTTTAAAGATATTTTCCTCTTTAAAAAGCCAGATGCAAATCCAAATGACTCATTATATATTATTTAAAAATTCACTCTACATGTGCTTGCATTCATATTCTTGAATATCTGAGAAGGCCTGCAACTGGATTTCATTTCAGTCCTACCTCCTGCCCTCAGCTAGCTTCTTGTGACATGAGGTCAGCTAAGTTTTACATACCAAAGTACACAAAACTTGTTGGTTTTTTTTTTAAATAATACACAAGACCACCAAGCCCACCCACTCTTGACACTTCTGTTATTCCACTTCCTCTGCCCCCAGCCACAGGCACAGAAAAGAAGTTGATACAAGCAAAACCAGAACAGAGGTAAAAATATCCACTTTAATTCAGAACATTTAGTGTATTTACAATAGAAACTTTCTGTCTGGTCGAGGGATTAGAGAGTGAAAAAATCCATGTTACAAACATGTGGACAGCCTGCACCTGGTGCAGGCTAATTGATTTTTGCTAGGTCTGGCCCACCCAGGGTAAATCCAGTGAGAAAGTGATGGGGAGAGCCTGGAGATGGTACCCAATGGCTCCCACAGGCAAGCAGCAATCACAGAACACAGTCCAGGAAGTAGTGTAAAGTTATTCAACAGCTGCTAAAATATCTACAGAGACACATACACAGTCCCATCTGCAGTTAGATTCATCAGATCATCCATATGTAGATAAGCAGGTAGACACAAGCCTACCAACCTGTGTGCAAACACAGATTTGCAGAGGACATGCTCATGCACAGGTACCACCTCACTCAGGCAGATGCACACACTCCTTGCCACCCTGCAGCACTTGGACAAACACACAGGCAGGTGTTTTGTTAATGCTAACTTACATGGTTTCTAGATACAGGAAGAAAAAACAACTTGAGAAAAAAAGCACCAATCCTCTCATCTGACTCACTGGCTTGGAATCCTCACTCCTGTGGGAACTGAGGGACAAGGTGTGGAAAGGATAACATCCTGTTTCTTGGAGAGAGAGAACCAGTTTTGAATCTCCAGGAGTCTTGCTATGGAGATACCTACTAGCTGGTACTGGTTGACACCGAGAGAGGGCAATCCTCTCCTGCTCCCAGAAATAGGCACATCCTCCCACCACTTCCTGAGTCAGATTTAGCTATCAAAAGGCTGCAATATGAGCCACTTCAACTGGTTGATCTCGCAGAAAAATAGATCTGCAAGAAGTGAGTACTTTAACATTTGAGCAATCAGCTTAATCAAAGCACCCTATAAATTTACCCACCACATGATGTGTGGAGCACCTGTTCAGCAACAACTTGTCCATAGAAGCTGATCTATGATCAAGTCACTCAGAGCTCCTATTTGCATCTTGGTCTGAGTTCACACACCACTTCCTTTATGAGGTGCTTTCCTTCCTTGGGAAAGGAGGTGTTGCAGAGGTCTGCCATGGCTTAAAGGTGTTGAACTACGTGGTGGTTAAGAAGCAAACCTCAGCCTTCCTCCAGCATAATCTGCTGCTGTCTCCACCAAAACCAGCTGACAAGTGTTACAAAGATGGGGAGATACAGGGAAAGAAAGAGAGCTACGATCCCCTCTTAATAGTCAAAGGCAGCTAAAGCAGAAATAGATTAAAGATGGTTGTGGAGGCTGCAAGACTGAGGAGAGTTCTGGCTTAGCAAAGCTTCTTGAACAGCCTCACTGCAGCCACTGAGCTCCATCTGGTTGAGGACACAGGTGATGTGCTCCACAGTGGCAGCACGGCCCATCTGCAGTTTCCAGAGTCTGAGCATTTCATATTGGGCGTCTCGCAAGCGCCGGTGCTCCAGCTCAATCCGCTCCAGGTCCCAGTCACTCAGGCCCAGGCGTCGCACAAACTCTTTCCAGCGAGACGGCGGCACGTGATCCACCACAGTGTACAGAATAGCAGGGTCTGAGAAAAGAGAGGGGAAACTGTGAGATGCAAGATTCTTCGACCTCGAGGAGAATATGAATAATCCAGGGCTGGAGGTTGTCTTGGTATCTTGCATTGCACCCTCTTGTTCAAGTCTTCTCCAGTTCTCCAGAGTAATCACACAGACTCGTGTGATGTCCAGACTTGCTCTTATCCCTGAAAATGTAATGGGAATGTTTCCATGCTCTTGTGTACGGTTATGAGCAGAGTCAAGCACATTTGCTTAGGGCCTTGCTGCCGTGCATTCTTGGAAAAGAATGACTTATTGAAATTATTCTGGGTCACTACCCCAGAGGCATTAAGACTGACAGCATGTCAACACATATGACATTCCATTTTGCTGGCAGGGAAAAGGGACAACAGAAAGGCCTTGCACAGATATTTAGCATATACAGACTCACAGGCTCTGGGCATGCTTCTGCCTTTGTACTGTTCCATGCATGGGTATACATCCAGATCACATACACTGGGTAAGGTCTGTCCAGCGTACTCATAGCTGCATCTGCATAATTAGGTTCTTGTTTGACTGGGGAAGGAGAGAAGGATGGAGGAATTTCACTTACCGTCTGGAACCTGCGTCTTCCTGGCAGCTCTGACACAGTCTGGTAACTCATGTGAACTCTGTGGCAGAGGTGCAGATGGTGGGGTTGTGTTTACCGGCAATTCTGTTTCCTTCTTGGACTCAGGAAGAAGGGTGAAAATTTCATTTCTTTTTTCCTCAACCTGAAAGACACATTATATCGTCAGGAATCACCCACAGCAGCACAATACACCTGTCTCCTGCAAGTAAACACTAGCTTTATATGCTAAAATTTATGCAAGATAGGTTGAGATTTTAATTCTTCCTACATGCCTTGTTTCAGCAGAAGACACCAAACATTTCTTTCCAACAGAACCCAAAGAGTTTCACTTTCTTTTGGCACCATAAATTAGTAGTCTGGAAACAAATATTTCTTTACAAAATCAAGTAAGGCTAGCACCCAAAATAGTGATTCTATTCATTCTAGAAGCTCCACCTTCCACCTTTCCCATCAGCCTCCTCTGTAAGGCTGTGGAAACCCCACCTCAGCTGTTGCCTGGGCCCTCTTATTTACAGAGTTACCGTGGACCTGAGAGAATACTGTGAAGCAGCACTGAGAGGCTTGTGGAGTCAAGATCTGAAGTGAAGTAAAATTAATTAAATCCTCCAAGCTTGGGGTAGAGGAGAGAAAAGGAGATTAAGGACCAACTATCTGAACAAAATGCATCCAGAAAAAGAAGAAAAAAAAAGGAAGGGAAAAAAAAAAGCAAAAAGCTATGAGTTTGAAAAGCATCCTCTAGAAGAGGGGAAGTAAAGTGCTACTGGCTCCACCCTCTACAGGAAAAGACTTCTGAGTTAAACAGCTCACTTGAAAATACAAGGCTTGAAAACAGCCCATGGGGAAAATTATTACTCCAGATCCTAGGCTAACATATTTGAAAGTGCAAGATATACCCATCATCTTGCTCACCTCTGATACAGGCTCCTCGGTTGTCTGTGGCAAAGAAACTTCAAAGAAAGAAAAAAAAAAGAAAGAAGAAATTATTTTCACTTCCTCTTATCCCAGAGAAAACAGGAAAGCAGCTATTCACAATCCTGCCCCCCAAAAATGCTATGTAGCAAAATACACGTCCCAGAAATAAGCTCACGTGCACTTCCAGTCACAGCTGTGGGCCTGGATGCAGAACTGCAACAGGAGCCTTGGCTATTTAGTTCTTGTGCTACTCTGACCGTGCAGCAGAGCAGAGTAAGGGGATCCCACTCTGTCCCTCACACATGCACACACACAAAACCATACAGAAAACAGTGTCTATCCCAACCAATATCACTGCACGTGCCACTGTACTCACCACAGGAGTAGAAACATGACTCTATCCTATTCTTCTGGACCAGCTTCCCTACTTTATATGCAATGAAGAGGATGGAGATAACTCCAAATATTGCAACAAGGGTGCCAAGTACAACGTTTCCATCTGGACAAAAGGAAGACAGCAAATACATGAGTGACTAAGAAAGGAGGAGGTAAGTGCTAGAGGAAGAACAGCAAGTGAAGATTTGCAAATGGTAGGGAGAAAAAGGATAATGGTTTGAGAAAGTGGAAAACAGAACCCTTTACAAAAGGCATTAATAGAACACCCCATAATGAAAAGATTCCACTGCACTTCAGTCCCCTGAGTACTCACTCAGCCCAGATGAAGTCGGTGAGGTAACAACTGGGCTAGGACACCACAAGCAGTCCTCTCCAGTGCAGCTGAAAGAACAAATCCGAGAGGTGAGCACACATTCAATGAAACTCTAGCCCTTGGCAACCATCCCAATTAAGAGACAAGTCAAGATGAGCCTGCAAAGCAGAGCAGTGCAGTATGACTTAGTGATTTTGGGTTCTTAGTGGGCTGATGCCTACATGGAGGAAACGGGAGGTGGCAGAGGTGAAGACCTACTTGCCCCAGAAAGGCACTATTCAGTGGTGGGGCATACAGAGTAAAATAGCTCACCTGTTGCAGGGCTTGCAAATGTTACTACGTGACAGGAAGAATTGAGGCTTACACCTGCAAATTGTATCTTTGTTCTTTGAGAAAACTAAGGGAAAAAGATCCACTCCAAGATGAATGAGAGATTATCCTTTTTTAAGCCTGGAAAACTGCTACTGAAGAAGAGATAAAGGATTTGATCTACATACAAAAACAGAGCTGGGGGCGGATAAAAGTAGTAAAAATAAGAGTGCCACTGTTCTGAATGTGAGCACCTCTGTAGAGGCTCAGAAAGGGACTATAATTACAGAGCAGCTGAAATTAGTATAATGCACAAAAGGCAGTAAAAGTCACTAAAGTTCAAGCATGTCAGGAAGGGAAACCACATTAGTCAGGCCAAGATGAGGGAGAAGTGAACCCTGAGCAGCTGGGACTGGTGAGGAAGTCAGTTCAGGGCAGGGAGAAATCACTTCAAGTCATGGGACACATAAGCACTCTTCTGATGTCATGAGTGGAAGGGGTAAGAAGTGAAAGAACTATTGCTTCCAAGCAAGCCACAGGAGAGAGCCTGAGTAAAACAGGTGTGGGGAGGCTCAGGCAAGAATAGTGATGGGAGGATATCAAATTGCATGAGAGGAGGGGAAAACATACTAGAACAAGGAGCATGCATTTTGTGGCAAGTGAAGGACGGGAATAAAACAGTTCTGCATCAGCCAAGAGGGAAGGAAGCTCAAGGATAGTGTGCAATGATGACCTTTGAGGAGAGGCTTAAGTGTGGAAACTCTGACAAGATGATTGAGCACTAGAGGGAACACATTCACCAGTGAAACAGCAAGCCTCACACTGGGCAGGGTAAGAGATGGGAAAGGGATCAGGAGCAGCACAGTTTGCAAAGAAAAGAGGATAGCTTTAAGAGGAGATAGGGTGGTCAGACAAGGTGGGAGCAGCTGGACTGGAAGCACAGGCCTGCTGGATGATTAAAGAATGATGACTAAAATAATTATATCTTTTGTACAGATCAAGACCAGCTGAATAAGATGTTCAGAGGGGACTGTGTGTCCTTGGGCTGGAAGACAGCTACTAAAGAATGTATGTACGTGCAGACTTGGAAGAACAGTTGGCCTGTGGATGGGCACAGATGTGTGATGCCGTTTGCCTGCACAGCTGGATCCTCCTGTGCAACCTCATAAAAGAGGTTACACATTTGCCTTATGATTAAGGAAATAAAGTCAGTTAGTGTTGCATCCAATACTGACTCATGCTTTTTCAGTCATCACATGAAAAGAAGACTTTAAGGGACATGGAAAGAATTAAGACTACAGACAGCAGTGTTTGTTTAAGATCTCTGATTCCTGACTGGACATGAGGCACCTTGGGACAGCTAACATGAGTACTTCTCCCAGACACCCCAAGGTAATGCCCAGTGCCACTGGGTATAGTTCAGCCTTACTAGCAGCTCTTGACTTTAGAACACTGCACAGAACACAGTGGTTCTTCAGCAACTGACTGACAAGCAGTTCAGCTGAGCACTGGCACCAGGGTCACTTTGATCCATCAGACTCAAAGTGCTTCCAGCAGTTGGTAGGGGAAATGCAGTGAGCATCAGGAGAAAGACAAACAAAGAAGGCAAGGGGAAACCTGTTCTACAACATAAAGACTTTGCTTCAGGACAGGCAAGACAGAGGCACCAAAATTAAGCAAAAAAGTAGCTCCTCACAACAGCCAAAACCAAGAAACTGTTCAAGGACAGAAGAAAGCAGCTATGATAGGAAATAGGGATTGATGCCAGAACAGGCAAATATAGCAGTCTTTCTGGGGAAAAAGAGCAGACCAAGCCCAGAGTTGTTCCAAAACTACCATCCTTTCAGTGCAAGGCACTGCAGCATATCAGAAAGTCTACCCTATTACAGTACATCTGCTCTGGAGCCATATCCATGCCATACTCACAGCTGGCAATAATCCCATTGTCACATGAGCTGCAGTTCCTACACTGGAAGAATTCAGACTCAGAATAAATCTGATACTGATTCTTCTGACAGCCACATACAGTATCTTGCTGTGGGGTGCAGGGGGTCTCTACTATCTGCTGGAGTTCTGAGGAAAGAAAGGAGAAATTATTACTTCAACCTCTTACTTCATCTTCAACTGAGAGCACTGTTACAATGATAGGTATTGTTATCCCCTAATTTTCCCAGAAAAAGGCCAGGAAGGCCTGTATCTCAGACTGTACTGATTTGGTAACCCTTATTCCTGCTGTCCTCAGTCCGTTCCCATATAATTACCCATTCAATTGCTTACTTTTCCAAGCTCCCTTGCTCACGTTGCCATCCCCTCCAGCCCTCATCCACCACCATTTTCCTCAGATGGATCCTGCAGATCTGGCAGTAACTCACCTGTACGGCAGCGTGTGCACCGGAAGCACTTGGACATGGTGTTATCAACAGCTGTGAATGTGCCATTGGCACACGGAAGACAGACAGTTGCCTGGTCAGGCCCATCACAGTCTTTTGCCTTGTAGGTACCTGCAAGAAAAATCACTTAACAGAGCTCTGACAGGAAGGTAAATGGGAAGGCAATAGTTACTGGCTCCTCAAAGAAACCCTGGAGTTGATGGCATAAGGACCAAGTATGCTTCCTCTCACCCTCTTGTATTTATTTTGTATTACCTGCATGACACCTCATGCAGCAGTGGGTCTTCCTGGGGTGTAGGTATTGTCCCAGGAGACAGTGCATCTGTTTTTTTTCTTTCCTCAAAGAGTTAGAGGGGCCTCTTCCATCCAAAGCTGCCCGATGGACTTGCAGTCTATATGGCACTGGAGTAATTTCTACAGATTCTTTTGTCAACACACAGACAAATATTAGAACAACCTGTAAACAGAGAGGGAGGGGGGAGAGGAGAGAAACAAGGTGAGAAAGCACTGTATCTTACTGCAGAATGCACCTCTGACTTCAGCACTTAGAATTAAATTCTGAGTTCGGTTTACCTGGCTAATTCTGGTAATGGGACCCTCCACTGGCAAATGTGTGTGAGGATTTATGAAATAAACCCCAACAAACCAATGCTAAAATACCATTCAATGGCCTCTGTGGCAAAACTGGTTGTATATAAAACAAATATTTTTCATGATGTGCAGTTTATACATGGAATGCCTTGGAAATGCTTCAGCTTGCATAGAAGTTACACAAGAGCAAAGAAATGTTTTTATTAAGGAAGATAGTAAGTTTCACTGAGAAGAATGCATCCAATACCTGCAGTTCCACTGAATAAATACACAAGATGGGAAGTTTGGAATAAGATGGAAAAGGAGGATCTCATTGCTTGCAAACCACATACAGGAAATCTTCCAAAATGTCTCCTGAGCAAGCCAAACTAAGAAACATGGGAAAGTTAGGTTTTTGACTTCTCCCTGCGTCAAATGCATGTTCTTCCTCATAAACTGCAGCTGTTAACAATCAGCCCATAGAGTTCAACACAAAAATGCACAGTTTCTTCTTTATTTAACTGTTAAAATTTTATTTCTATTTTTCCACTTGAAAGTTGTCATGCCAATCTTAACAGAAATACTAAGATTGGCATGACTGCCATATGATGACTGTAAGAGAGTGTGACTTTGTACACCCCCACACACATGAACCAAGCGTTAAAAGCACAGCCTGTACCAATAATGAAGGATGCCATTCCCTGGACACTGTTTTCAGGACACTATTCCCAGCAATGAAATTGAGAAATATACTGTTTATGTAATGGCCAAAAGGTCTCCACTCTGGTAAGAACACAGGATAAATGACTCATTGGCAAAAGATCCTGTACCAGAAGGATGGTAACAAGATTGCAGCATACCACAAACACAACTCCTCCTCCTCTTTGCAATAGAAAAAAGACCTCGAGCATGCATTTCAAATATTCAGATAAAGAAAAAAATACAACAAAACATTTTAAAAAACCCCTAACAAAACAAAACTACGTAAAAAGATTTATGAAACCTGAAGTCAGCAAGTTTCTACAGCAAAGACCCATCCCATAGCCACCGATGACTCCTGAAGAGTATGAAAGATTTGTCCAAAAACTACTTGACAGTACCATGAAGAAGCCCAGCAGCATGATGAAGACAACAACCTGCATCCCTTGTCATCCTCTTGGCCCACAAGTGATCCTGGCCACACCATCTGGACCACCCATGTGTTGATGCTTCTGTTACAGATGCACCAATGAACTCTGTGCATCATGTGAATGACGAAAATCAACTAAGTTTTTTTCGAATTAACACCACCCCACCATTATAATCTCACACAAAATTTTACTATGCTACCTTCCCTCTAATTGTAATGTTTTCCTAGCTCGTTTTTTTGAAAGTGTTTTTTTGAAGATGCCCAGCAGTACAGGCACAGCTTCGGAGTTCCTTTTTTTTTTTTTTTTCCCTTTGCTATTTCAGCTAAGAGAGTTATAGCAAAAGCAAAGTAAAACAAAAAGGGTAAACCACAGTGCTGATACCAACCTTGTGGTAGCAAGCTTAACAAAAGATAGATAGAATGAAATGGCTATGACACCCCTACATTGTCCTGTTTCTCTTTCAGAATTAAAGCCTTGGGGGGAAAAAAGGACATACATAAAAGCAAATTAAAATCACAAGAAGGATGGTGTTTGCAACTCTGACAAAGCTAAAACATCATTTTTCAGAGAGCTCTGACATATTCAATAGACCAGATGCTAAAATGGTGAACGGGAAAAAGGAGAACCACATATTTAAATAGTTATCATTTCAGACTTAATCAGTTGACCACAGAATAATTGTAAACTCTCCAACAACTCCTCAGTGAAACTAAAAATTGTTTCAGCAGCTGACATTACAAGATTTATTGCTTGCAAGAAAATGGATAAAAGATCCTTCACACAGATGTTCTCACACACAGTAACAGGAAAAACATCCTGATTCTGTAGCTAGTGATTAATCTCCCAATATGAGACTATAAACAGTCAGCCCGTAAGTCACACAAGTCCGCAATAGAAAGAAAATGAAAGCATCAAAGAAAAAGCCAAAAATACAGAGAAAATTGGTCAGATACACCTTCAAAGTCAAAAGAAAACAGAAGTGCTTTTAATTTTTCAGATGAAGTGAAAGCATGTCTTTAAGTGTCATCAAAGCAGAGTTAATACATTAGGGACCACAATCTGAGGAGCAGAGTCACAGGCCACAAATAACTCGGCCATCCAGCAAAATCATTCACATGATGAAAAAAAACCTACCAAACACCACCCTCTTCAGCAGCTTCCCAGGCCATTCAGCAATACACTGATTTATACCCATGAACAACTTCATCAAATTCAGGTAATACATGAAATTAAAATAGTCTGCTCTGTTTCAGCTGGAAGGCACATAACTCGTGGTATATGACCTGTAACAACCATGATACAACATGGACTACAGAACTGATCAAAATCCTCAGCAAAACCAACCTAAGAGGATATGAAGGCAAACCACTTGGTAGTGAAAGAGTGACCCAATGAAGAGTGAGAAGACCCCATATAATAATGCTTTTGATCCCGACCGTCGCTTGAGGGATAGGGAGTCTAGATCATAAGGGTGTAATTGCCCAGGGATTTCTTTGTTGGGGTCCCTCTTTTGAGGCACCTGGCTTAAGCTACCATGTAACAGAGTTGATCTGTACCAATAAATCTGTCTGATGGAGATGAGAGCCTGATTTAAAAAAATTCTTTACCAGTTCCCCTCATCTGAACACATTCAAGAACCTTCAGATCCTCAAAATGTGAGGCTTGGATTTGCTTTGGATTTGTTGCCAGCACTCTGGCTGGGGCTGCAGCAGCACTGAGCACAGTGGGGTGATCCCCCCTTCTGCCCGGCTCTGCTGCCTGTTTGATGCCCCCCAGGACACGGTTTCTGCCCTCTGGGCTGCCTGGGCACACCCTGCTGATTCTCACTGAGCTGCTGCCACCTGCACCCCCAGGGCCCTCCCTGCAGGGCGCTCCCCAGACTCCTCTCCCAGTTTGCACTTGTGCCTGGCGGTAATTCTGTCCCCAGATTCAGGATCCAGCATTTGGACTTGTTTGTTCAATTTCATTCCAATAATCATTGCTCAATACACAATTTATGTAGAATAAACACACTGAACAGAACTGTCCCTAGAACTGAGCCCTGAGGAACACTGCTGGTTCAGAATCACTACTGGTAATCTTAGACTGCGCCAAGGGAAATATAGGTTGGATATTAGGAAGAAGTTTTACACTGAAAGAATAATAAAGTACTGGAATGGTCTTCCCAGGGAGGTTTTAAAAAAGACTGGATGTGGCACTCAGTGGTGCTACATGGGTTGGACCTGATGATCTTGGAAGTCTCTTCCAACCTAATCATTCTGTTGAATTCTGTTCTGTTGAATCAGTCGCCAGCCAGATTAAGCTCCATTTACCAAGCACTGAAGCCATTGATAAGAGTTTGCCGAGGCAAAGTTTAGAGGTCTTCTGCAAGTGAAATAAGCTGAATTTCCATTGTTAGGTGTACAGCACACTCCACTTGCCAGCATAAAAAAAACAGTACCCACTAAGCAATTTCACAGAGACAATGTGTATTACCTAAGCCAAGTGATTATTCAAACCACATGAGTCGCACACCTCTGATTCATTGCAACCCACTCATTTCAGTGAGTAGGGACTACCCAGGAAAATAGAGTCAGCAAAAACTCTAGGGTTTACTTCTGAAGCTGCTGCAGGAATAACCAAAATGCTGCTTCTGTAAAACGTTCTACCCCTCTGGGGGACAGCTCTGTTCCCTGCACATTCTCCTCACACATAAGGTAACTCTAGTTCCTTCCCATGCGTCACACCAGCACTTACTGCCCAGCACTTCACTCACAATGAAAAGAAGGCACAGCACAAGCCCAAAAGCTCTTCTATGCAAAGTTTTGACAGCTGAGACAGGAGTTAGGAGCCTTTCCACAATTTTCACACCCAAATATTCTTGAATCACTGCCACCACTACAGTTTACACCCTTGTTCCTGCTTCTGCCTCACCAGGCCATGCACAGAAAACTGCAAGTTGAGGTGATATCCCCCCAGAGTAAGGCAAAGGAAGAGAGGAAGGGCAAAGATAAAAGTGAAGAACAAAGCAAGATGCCAGAAAGATGGGTGAGAGAGTGGAAATAAGGGACATTTAAGAGCAGTGTTCTCAGGACAAGGAGACATAAAGCACAGTACCTGAAACAGAGGGAATGCACAGGGAAGTGCAGCACGTCAGGGCTGTCCCATATTATCACCACACAAGGCTGGGAAATACCAAATTACTCAGCATGAATGGCTGCAACACTGCTGTGACCTGCCAGGCTCCTCGCCTGCAGGGAGAAGGGTGGAGGGAGCAGGTACAGTGACACACAGGTCATTTTGCTATCTTTAATACTCTTGCTTCAACACTGCTTGAAAAAATAGTACACCATAGTAGTTATAACTACCTATATTGTGTTGTAAATAATTATGAATTAAGTCTTTTAGTCTCAGCATTATCATCAACAATGAAATAAATATTTTATTCATATAACTATATTTAGTTTGCCATCCTTAATCCTCAGGGACCAAGTTGCACTAAGATTCCTTTGTAATAACTTAACCACTTCTCTCAATAAGTACTTTCATTTTGCAAATTCCACTTTTAAACTAATTAACTACCTGCAAATAAGAGGCATTATGAGTCATTAGAGTGTTTCAAAATATTTTGTAACAGCTGGTTACATTGGCTTAAGAATCCACCATGATACATGCCCCATGCACAAGTATTCTACATATTAATCATCTGCTAACCTTTTTAATGAGTCATAAAAAATTAGTCAGCTTGGAAGCTTGGATAAAAACCAGTATCTTTCTCTGACTAATGAGCTACCAAATAAATCAGGGTGCAGGATTGACCCTTATGTTCTTTGTCTGGTTCATCCATTTCCAAAAGCTCTTTGAGGTTTGCATTTTTTTAGTTTGCAATACAAAGATGAAAGAGAAACCAGAACTTCTGTTTTACACACTGAGAAATGTGCATTAAAGCAACATTTACAGGAAGCTTTTGTCATTGTTCATTAAAATCTGGAAAGGACAAAAAAAGGCTACAAGAAGTACTATTATAAATAATCCTCATTTAATGAAGATAAGATGAAAGGATGCTGTATTTCAGTCTAAAATCAGGAGATTGGAAATAACTTTGATACACTGAAGAAAGGCCTTACAAATCTTAACTTAAAAACCAAGAGAAAACTGTGATTATCTATAAAGATTTTGGACTTCACATCATGAAATATCATAAAGTATATAAAGTCAGAAGGCTTTATTTCATATTAGTAGAGATTAAGAAACTAATGGAGAAGTCAGTAGGTGATAAGAACCATAAGGAAATTTGTTTGGAAGTTTTCCCTTCGAGGACACTGATGAACACTGTCAGAGTGCCATGCTGACCGACCCTCATTACCCCAGCACTTTGCCTGCCTGTGTTTAGGGCTGAGCTCCACGCTGTGCTGCTGTACAGCCTCACATCTGGAGCAGGAGACATGGGAAGGCTCAGTGGGGTCTTTACTTTTCCATCCTGAAATGATTTTCAGCTGGGCACGAGCCCTCAGCCCCTGCCACAGTGTGCCACGGACCTGCTCATGCCCCTTGTCAGTGACTCACTAGGTGAATTTTTAAGTCAGGTAATTGTCAAATGCCAAGTCCTGCTCATTGGAACAGATATATTCCTGTTTGGTTCGATAGAGAAATGTAGTGACACTGCTTTGAGATGTGCTTTCCACTGTCATGTTCCTCAGAGCATAACACAAAGAGATATGCTAGCAAAGGAAGCACTCCGCTATCCAGGGATTACAGAAGACAACACAAGGCATCTGCCCCAAATACAAACAAAGCCTCTTTCTGATGACTAAAGAAAATGGGTAAGAAAGAGTAAAATGACAACATTGAAAATGATAATGAAAAGGGAAAGGCATCCAAACTGACAGTACTGGTTACTTGTGAGAACAAAAATTGCCACGCAAGTGTATTTAACACAGACACTAATATAAACATTTCATTTTGCTAGAAGTAGTTAGTCCTAAAAATAGAAATTAAAATTAGATCAACAAGCGGTAAAAGTTCAATTAATCTGATTGGAGAAAATAATCAGAAATGCAATCAAATGCTATGAATTATAAGGAAAGGACGTGAGAACAAAAGCAAGAGTGTTGTTATGACAATATATAAAGGATTGAATCTGGACTGTAGTTCTGGTCCCCAATCTTAAGAATAGAAATTAACCCAGATATAATACAAAGAAAAGTAAAAACGACCATCACTGCTACAGAATGACTGCCACTAAGAGAATGATAAGATATACCAGTCTATAAAACAGAAACCCGAGACAAGGATACTGTACCAGGCTCAAAATCATGAATACCAAAGAGAAGGTGAACTGGGACGAGTGTTCTCTGTCTCCTCCAAGGACTAGGAGGCATCACATAGGACAAGAGGCAGAGAGGTTCGAAACTAACACAGGGAGGTACTTTTACAGTCAACATGTAGCTGAGGTGTGGGACTCCCAGAGGCAGTTCTGGCTCTGCCAGAAACCTGTCCTGGCTCCAAAACTGATCGCCACACCCACCAGAAGAACGAGAAAACCCACAGTCAGGGATCCAAAATACGAAGACGCCATATCAACTCGGAAATTCCTACAGTCCTAGCCCACTGGAAGCCAGGAAAGTATTTTTTATTGCTCTACATTCGCCCTGCTCCAAAACCCTTGGCAGGCACCTGTGGCTGGTCACTACTGGAAACAGGCTGGTGGCCCAACACTTCTTTCTTAAAATGCACTTGGTGGCCTGGTTTTCAATTTTTACATAACATAGCTTCTAACTTCAAAATGGCAGGTTTTCCCTTTTACTTTGAAAAGAAATCAGTGACAGAAGTACCCTTATGGTTATTTTGTCTTTGTTCTTCATAAAATTGAATTTTCTTTAATAAATTAATAAAATAAACTTTTTTTTTTTTTTTTTCCTTTTAATAAGACAGAAAACACCCTTGCCTCATTGAAGACAGATGCCGTTTTTTTCTACTGTAAAAGGTAGGAAAATGAGTTTAAGGACAGGCAAAACGAGTGAATGCATGGAAACAGGCTACAGGAAATTTTGAAGAATCGCAGGAAATATACAAGAATCAGATGAGTAGAAGGGAGGCATAAGGGGGCCAAGAAAGACAATGAGAGCAAACAGAATGGTATGTAAAGTAAATGACAGATGGAAGGGCATGCAATAGAGTGAGACCTGTAACTCTGGGAAAGAAAAAAAGAGTATGATTTTACTGAAAAGACAAACAGCTGTAGGGAGTAGAGGGTTATTGACAGCTTGAAATGACATGCAAATAGGAAGGGAAAAACATATTCCAAAAGAAATCCCACTGAAGGACACTTCCTCCAGTATGTTATTTAACTGATGACAATATAATGAACTTGGGGAATCCAATAGGTTTGGGGTTTTTTTTGCCAACTGAATGAATAATATCACATACGGTATCTGATTTCCACCAAAATATGTGCACCTCTATTTTCAAGGCAGAAATACACTTTTCAAGTTTGCTAACTGCTTTGAAATCTATCTGTAAATCAACAGTTTATGTCTCCTACCTAGGTCCCAAGAGGGAAATTGATCCACAGCTAGAGTCGAGGTATTCTTTCTCTCAGTTTTGTGTTGTCCTCAACTGCTACCTTTAGGTCTATTACCAGGTTTCCAGACCTTTCAAGGGGCAAAAAAAACCAAAAACCAACAAACCAAAACCAAATCCAAACCCTTCTGGAAGGCAACTTTGCACATGTTGCAACTTTCTGACCGCAAATTAACAACTAACCCAAGATTACAAGTCCAGAGCAGCCAAGTGCAAGTGTGCATTACCACGAGTAATGCACGGGTATTTAAGGATAAACACTTTGACTTTGTAACCTCTACAGCAGAATTTATAGCCATGTCACGATGCTGAGTTACACCCCTCCACTGTCCCAGCTTTACCACACATCTTCTAATACTGGATAGCCATTCAGGTCTGGCAATCACGTTATTCATAAAACTTTCCGATTTCTTTTAAAACTTTTTCGCCAGCAAAATCACAACGGGCAGCTTGACCTGCGAAGCCCGGGTAGGCTAAAGAAAATCTACCGGCAAAGCTGAACTTGCTTTTATACAAATCCCGTGGTTTGGGACGTAGCTACAACCCACTAATCTTTGTTTAAACGCCCGCAGAGTGGCATTTGTGTGCGGCTGGCTGCACAGCAAAGCGGGGGCGGCTCGTCCCCGGCCCCCGCACAGCGGCGGTGGGAGCGAAGCGGCTCCGATCCCGGCCCGGGCGGTTCCGATCCCGGTCCGGGCGGTTCCGATCCCGGTCCGGGCGGTTCCGATCCCGGTC